GAGAGAGGAGCAGGTCAGTGCAGGTGGCTTGTTATACAAAAGGAGAACATGGATCAAGGCTAGATGGGAAGGAGGCAGGTTTTGCCCCAGATCCCAGAGTGCAATTGTGTGAAATTCAGAGTCTCACCTGGAGAGAGTCTCTGTACATGATTGTGCATGTTCTGTACATGACTGAGCATACTACAACGCTCCAGGACCTGCACCAACCCTGGCTGCCAGGAATCAAAATGAAGATATACTCAGCCCAGAGTCGTCTTCCCATGTAGCTTCTCCCAACTCCAACCTGCCCTGCCCTGGGCAAACCATTTTCCTTCAGGGATCCTGAAGTGTATCCCCTATGACTCTACTTCACTGTCTGCTCTAGGAACAGATCCATCACTGTCATCCTGGGAGCCCACGATATTGATGAGCAAGAGATGACCCAGCAGGTCATCCCTATAAGAAGAGCCATCCCCCATCCATATTTTAAAAGAAATTCATTCAATGACATCATGTTACTTCAGGTAAGGCATGCCATTCCACTGAGTCTTATACAGGTTAATCCTAGAGGGTTAAATCCTCATGGCCTTGTTTCCATTATTCATTTCCAAATTCACCCCTTCACTTGTCCCCATGACTGTGTGGATTTTCTGGAGTGTTGGTTGATCAAAATTCCCTTTATCTGCCTTTAGTTGGAAAAGAAGGCCAAGCTGAATGCTGAGGTGAGCCTCCTCAAGTTACCCTCAGTACATTCCCAGGTTACACCAGGGATGGTGTGCTCTTTAGCCGGCTGGGGACCTATTGACCAAAACATATCCACAACAGAACTGCATGAGGTACAGCTTGAAATCCAAAAAGACGAAGAACGTCTCTCTCATTTCAAAAGACCATATGACTCCACCACCCAGATTTGTGAGGAGAACCCAAAAGAGAAGAAGAATGGTCTTCAGGTAAATTCACCTGCATTGGTTATTCCCTGCCTTGAGCACAGCAGAGTTTGAGGAGAATCAGGGCAAAGGGAACTACTTATGCCCCTATGTACTCAGCCTTTCACCAATTCAGTCTCTGGTCCTTGGGAATCAGTGGAGACTGACTGCCATTGGTCATTTCATGGAAAGAGACTTACTGAAGGAGGAGAGGCATCAGTAAAACTGGGAAGAATAGTCAGCGTCAGGCTGGAGCCCCCCAAACTGAATGAGGACTGCCCTGGTCCTGATTTCATACACACAGCCCTCTAACAGTGCCCACACACACCTGGGGAGTGGGTGGTGTGGGATTTGGAAAAAACTAGCTAAGGGCAGCCCTTCTCTGTCCACAGGGAGATTCAGGAAGTCCTCTTGTGTGTAAAAACGTGGCGCAAGGCATTGTGTCCTATGGGAAAATGGAGGAGACACCTCCAAATATCTACACGAGGACCTCAAGCTTTCTGCATTAAGGTCCTGGATTAAAACAACAATGAAATCATTCAAACTCCAAGGACAAGACTGAGAGGCCTTCAGAATTGATATTCATTTTCTCTTGAACAAAGGCCCAAAATGCACTGGGTGGATGAGTCGAGGGGAGACTGCCAGGTACTTAATAAACTTTCATCTCTGCAACAGAAGTGATGGATTCCTCCTTTATTCGCCAGCATAACATTCTGTAAGGTTCTGATTGCATGTCCAGCAGGAACTGTTTACATTTATGATTCCTTACACGCTTCCTCTCAGGCAAACTCCACCTTCCACCTCTAGAATATAAAACCATGCTGTGTTGATACTAGCTCCAAATGACCTGTCCCAATGCCAGCTCCCTGCCACAGGTCGAGTTTAAGCTACCCTCTCTAGACAAAACTCATTCCTTCAGTGCCATCTTACCTCATTCTGTACCTACATTCCTACCCCACCGTACATCAGGGCCAGTAACACAATACAAAAGAACCCATATTTGGAAAGGAAATTACATAATTCCCACCCTAGTGGTAATCGGTAGGAGCCTATTGGAAAGCTGTGGTTCATGCAGGGCTCCCTCTTCAAGTCAGCACAACTGGCAGCTTGGAAGCATGAAGACATTCAGGAAGAATTTTCAGTGTCCCCAGATGCAACTTGAGTTCTGTCATAGCCCTGTTGTGGGTCCAGAGTCCAGTGCAGTGTCTGGTCTCCTGAGAACCCATCCTCCCATAATCCCCAAAAATTTTCATCTTAGTCTGAGCCAGCTTCTCTCCACCTCCCATGTCCAGGTTCCATGGAACCCTTTCTATCTGTGTTCACCAAGATTCTCATCCTTAATGGATCTTGAGCACTAGCTCACCTTCTGCCCCATTCATGAAGGACCAGGAAGCTGGGAATGTCCTCAGAACTCTAGTCCAGAGCTTTCACCTGGTCAAGGCCATGTCAGTCCTCCCATGCAGAGGATTCTTGCTCCTGAGCTCAGAGCCAAAGACAGGTCACACTCAGCAGCCTGATCCCTTGCAGGCTCTTCCTTTGGGTACCACTGAAAGCCTGGCCTCTGGACCGAACTCACTGATTGGTACCCTGGACTATATTGTCCATCAATGTGAGAAAGTCTGCCTCTGTAGCAGGACAGAAGCAGTATTCTGCCATCAACCAATACATCAGTGCTCATTGGGCAAATACTTCGTGCCAGGCAACAGGATCCCTGCAAATCAGCAGTCATCATGGAATCCATGTGGTTTATCTGATTTGCATGTCACTTCCTTCTGTGGCTTTCCAGGCCTGGATCTAAGTTTAATTTACAAAAATCAAAGGCATGTGCTTGTCAAGATAATAAAACTCATTTGAATTGTCCTGATGTTACATGGTACAGTTTTTGAGCACATTATCACAGCAGACCTAAGAACTGCTGTTTATGAGGTTTAGAGGAAATAGAGATTTTCTAGTTTGTCAGTGCTTAAGAGTACTACCCTGGGGTTGGGGTTGTGGCTCAGTGGTAGAGTACTCACCTAGTATGCATGAGGCGCTAGGTTTGATCCTCAGCACCACATAAATATAAAATAAAGATATTGTGTCCACTAAAACAAAAAAATAAATATTAAAAAAAAGAGCATCCCTCCCAGGAGGCAGGAGGAAGTTAGGGAGGAGTACTAGAGTGGAACATGCCTATCTTGATTTAACTATGGCATGGAAAAGGAGCTTGTACAGAAACTCAAACATGGAACATATTCTATCTTTTTCTGAAGTCTGGGGTCTAACTTTAAGCCTGGGCCAGTATGAAAAGTTACCCTAGTTATTACTAAGACCTGGCCACACCCAAAATTGAACCAAGATAGGCAGGCTTAGGTATGCTTAAAAAAATGTAAGCTTCCTCTAATCTTTTTTTAATATATTTTATTGCAGCTTTATACATAGTATGTGGGTTCATCTGACAAACTCACACATACCTGAAAATCAATTTTGGTTCATAGTGCCAACCCTGTCACTCCCATCTTTTTCTTCCCATTCTCTCCTCTCCCATTTGCCTTCTTCTATTCTATTTGATTTCCTTTTGTTCATCTATTAATTAATTAAATTTAATTAGTAATGGTTATATTTGATTAATTAGTATAATTAACCAAATTATTAATTGGTATAATTGATGTGCTTATTATATTTGATTGGTTCTTTATAATAGCTATTCCTCCCTCTGTTTTCCTTAATTTTACTCTAGTTTCAGCACAAGAGAGAAAACATTCAACATTTGGATTCAAAGTTTGGCTTATTTCCACTTAGCATGATATTCTCCATTTCCATCCATTACTGACCATAATTTTATTCTTTTTTATGGCTGAGTCAAACTATACTGAATATATATACCATAATTTCACAATCCATTCATCTACTGACAGGTATTTGTGTTGATCCCAATATTTGGCTATTTTGAATTGTGCTGCTATAACATTTGAGGTGATTGTATCGCTATAGTGTATCCATTTTTTTCTTTTTTCTTTTTTTAGTTGTAGTTGAACACAATACCTTTGCTTTATTTATTTATCTTTTTATATGGTGCTGAAGATCAAACCCAGCGCCTCACACATACTAGGTGAGTGCTTGATCACTAGCCACAATTCCGGCCCCAGTATATCTATTCTTTTCTTTGGGAAAATAGCAAGAAGCAGGATAGCTGGATCTATCCATAGGATTGGGTTCTATCCCTAGTTTCTTGAGGAGTCACCATACTGCTTTCCAGAGTGGTTGTACTGGTCTGCCATGCCACCAACAACATACAAGTGTTCCTTTCTGCCCATAACCTTGCCAACATTTATTGTTGTTCATATTCTTGATCATTGCCAACCTCACTAGAGTCAGATGAAATCATAGAATAGTTTGGATTTGATTTCCCTGAGTCTAAAAATTGGGAACATTTTTTCATATATTTGTTGTCCATTTGTTTTTCTTTTTTTGAGAAACTTCCATGTGTTCTTTTGCCCATTTATTGATTAGATATGTTGTGGGGGTGGGGACATTGTGTGTTAAGGCTCTGAGTTCTTTTTATATTCTGGATATTAATCCCCTATTGGAGGATTAGTGGGCCAGGATTTTCTCCTATTCTGTAAGCTCACTCTTCACACTCTTAATCATTTCCTATTCTGTGCAGAAGCTTTTCAGTTTGATGGCATCTCACTTTTGAAACTTGATTTTTTTTCTTATTCACTGGGGGTCTTATTAAGGAAGTTGGTGCCAGCAACTACATGCTGAAGTATTGACCCTATGTTTTTTTCCAGCAGTTGTACAGTTTCTGGTCTAATTCCTAGTCTTTGATCAATTACAATGTGAGCTTTGTGCATGGTGTGAGAAAAAATCTAATCTCATTTTTCTTCAGATAGTTATGGCTGAGTCAAACTCCACTGAATATATATATACCAGAATTTCTGAATCCATTCATCTACTGACAGGTTTTGTGTTGATCCCAATATTTGGCTATTTTGCATTGTGCTGCTGTAACCTTTGAGGTGATTGTATCACTATAGTGTATCCATTTTTTTTCTTTTTAGCTGTAGTTGAACACAATATCTGATGGGATGCCAGCAAACTGAAAAGCTTCTGCACAACATAGGGTTTCCATTTTTAACAGGCTGTCTTTTCTCCAAGAGGCATTTTAGGTGCCTTTGTAAAATATCAGACCGCTATGGGTATGTGAATATCTCTCTGGGTCTTCTATTCTGCTCCATTGGTCTTCATGTCTATTTTATGCCAATACCAAGCTGTTTTTGTTACTACAGTTTTGGATTTAATTACAGATCAGGTATTGTGATACCTCATGCTTTATTTTTCTTGAGTACTATTGCTTTGGCTATTCTGGGTCTCTGATTGTTCCAATTGAATTTAAGAATTGTTTTTCTAATACTGTGAAGAATTATTCACTGGGGGTCTTATTAAGGAAGTTGGTGCCAGCAACTACATGCTGAAGTATTAATATTTTGATGATGATTGAAATGAATCTGTATATTGCTCTTGGTATTTTGGCCATTTTGATAATATTGATTCTGCATATTGAAGATGGCATGTTTTTTCATCTTTTAAGGTCATCTTCAATTCCTTGCTTTGGTGTTCTATATTTTTTATTGCCAGGCTCTTTTCCCTCCTTATATGTGCTTTTAGTTAGATTAATTTTTTGAAGTTACCATGAATGGGATTATTTTCATGATTTCTTCCTCAACTGAATCACTGTTGGAGTGATGTTGAAGTGATGGGGGGTTCAGCAATTGTCAACTGTTAAAATAATCATAAACTTTATTTTGTTTTAAAGAAAACAGCAGGTGTCAACTATATCATCCACAGCAGTAATGATTATATCAGCACTAATGGAGGTGGCCAGAGTTATATAAGACAATTAGTTCTGAAAGATGGTAAAAATACACTTTGGGGGAAAGAAAATACATTGGGAAATTAGAATGAGTGCCCAGTTTCAAAAAGTGAACAGAGAGAATGCAGAAGAGATGTAGCATGTGATGTTTATGTAAGACAAAGAGGAAAAATTGAAGCAGCAAAGTATTGGGAGAGAGGGAGAGAGAAAAATAGAATTTGGCCATTAGCAGGAGAAGGTACGAGAGAAAGAGAATCGAAGATATGAAAATAATACAAACCAAGCCAAAATATATAATAAAAATCCTAAACCCTCAAAAGATAATATTACAGAAAATTATATTTGAAAATACTCAAAATAAAGAAAAAAATAAGTGTATGTACTTATGTTCCTCACCATCAGCCAGAATTCACATGTATGCATGCAAACACATAAACACACACACACGTAAACACATGAGACATATTATAAATAAATAAATAATAATCCCAAAAGGAATGAAGGAAATATCTCCACTGAGATGGTCAAAATAGTTGACCATATTGGGTGGTCACTGCCCCTTTCCAACAATCTTTGTTTCTGTTTCTTCTTGAGCTATGTGCTGATATGGCAAGGGTTGGAGATTTTTGTGTTGCTCTATGGTTGCCGATTGGAGCAGATTAAGATTGAAGCTGTTTGATATAATATTCAGCTTCCCTTCTCACCAGTGTGAGTTGAGATGGGTTAGGATGTACTGTCAGTTGCCATTGTGTCCATTTGAACCAGTTCAGTCCACTCCACTAGAAACCCGTGCCTAATAGAAGAAAAAAAATAGATCTAAATCTTCATTATGTTGGCCTAGGATCTGAACTTACTTAACAATACTCCTAAAGCATAAGAAGTAAAATCAATAAACAATAAATGGAATGGATTCCAATTAAAAAGCTTCTTCTCAGCAAAGTAAACAATCAATAATGTGAAGAGAGAGCCTATGTAATGGGAGAAAACCCCTACTACATGAACCTCTGATAAAGCATTATTCTCTAGAATATATAAAGAACTCAAAAAATAAAACACCAAAAAAAAAAACAAATAACCCAATTAATGGGCTAAGAAAAAGAACAGACACTTCACAAAAGAAGAAGTAAAAATGATCAAGAAATATGGGAAAAAGTGTTGTGTTCAACACATCTAGAAATTAGAGAAATATAACTCAAAACTACTCTAAGATTTCATCTCACTCCAATCAGAATGGTATTCATCAAGAATTCAGGCAACAATAAATGTTGGCGAGGATGTGGGAGAAAAGGTACACTTATACATTGCTGGCAGGACTGCAAATTGGTGCAACCATAATGGAAAGCACTACGGAGATTCCTCAGAAAACTTGGAATGGAATCACCATTTGATCAGTTATTCTACTCCTCGGTTTATACACAAAGGACTTAAAATCAGCTGTAGTAACAGTGATACAGCCACATCAATGTTTACAGCAGCTCAATTCACAATAGCTAAACTATGGAACCAACCTAGGTGTCCCTCAATAGATGAATGGATAAAGAAAATGTGGTCTATATACTCAATAGAATATTACTAAGCTTTAAAGAAGAGTGAAATTATGGCATTTGTCAGTAAATTAATGGAGTTGGAGAATATCATGCTAAGTGAAAGAAGCCAATCCCCCGCCAAAAAAAGGCCAAATGTTTTCTCTAATATGGAGATACTAATACACAATAAGGCGGGGGCCACTAGAGAAGACTAGTGTTACCTTAGACTAGGTAGAGGGAAGTGAAGGGAGGGAAGGGGAGGATATGTGGAAATAGGAAAGATAGTAGAATTAAATTAAATTATATATGTATATATATATATATACACACACACACACACACACACACACATACTTTTTGAGAGAATTGAGATCAAGATGTTCCAAACTGGGAGTTTTTCACAATGGCAGAATAGAGGCCAGCACATTCCTGGCTGCTTCGTGGCATGAAATCAAGAAAGCAGACAGGCAGCTAGCTTCTCAGCAAGTAAGGAAATGGTAAGTATCAGGGACATTGTAAGTCCACAGAGTAGAAACTCTAGCCTAAGATCCATACTACTAGAAAGATAGACACATAAAAACATGAAAAAGCAATGGAAAATTGTTCCAGACAAACCAAAATACTCCCATAACAGAATCCAGCAACACCACAGTGGAAGGAATGTTAGAGAAGGAGTTTAGAATTTGAAGTAAATGACAGTATAAGGAATGAAAGCAGGAAAATACAGGAAGTGAAAGATAACTTGAATAAAGAGATGAACATTCTGAAAAACAACAAAGCAGTAATTCTAAAAATAAAGAAATCAATTAAAAAATTAAAAATTTTAACTGAAAAAAAATCATTAATTTAAAGAGAATTTAATTGAAGAAATCTTTAATTGAAAAAGACTAGATCACTTGGAAGACAGAGTTTGAGACAAAGACAAAATATATACTCTAAAAAACAAAGTAAACTGTGGAGAAAATGTTAAGAGGCCATGAACAGAACTTTCAAAAATATGGGATAACCTGAAAAGACCAAATTTAAGATTTATAGGGAAAGGTGAACACACAGAGACACGAATGAAAGACACAAACACAATCTTTTCAATGGAATAATATCAGAAAATTTTCCAAACCTAAAAAGTGAAATGGAAAATCAAGTACAGAAGGCAAATAGGACTCCAAATATACAAAATTCCAACATACCAATAATGTTACCATGACTATGAAAACACTAACATACAGATTAAAGATAGAATCTAAAGGCTGCAAGATAAATATTATAGGTAATATTTAGAGGAAAACCAACATGGATCCCAGCTGATCTCTCAACCCAGCACCTCAAAGCCAGGTCTTAGAATAATGCATACAAAAATCTGAAAGAACATGAATGCCAACAAAGAACCCCATATCCAACAAAATTAAGCTTCAGTTTGAAGACAAAAGAAAACTTTCCATGAAAAACCAAAGTTAAAGGAACTCACAACTAGAAAGCCTGCACAATAAAACAATCTCAACAAAATACTCCATGAAAGAGAAATGGAAAAAAAACTGTGGGGGGAGACTAGCAAACAGAGGAATTACATTACAGGAATAGTCAATCAAAGGAGAAACTAATTCAGATAAAAACAAGAAATGAATGGGAATACAAATCACATCTCAATGATAACCTTGAATGCAAATGGCCTAAGCTCATCAATCAAAAGACATAGAGAGATTGGACTGGAAAAAAAAGACCCAACAGTATGCTGTCTCCAAGAGACTCACCTCATAAGCAAAAAAAAAAAAAAAATCCATAGACTGAAGGTGAAAGTATGGGAATAAAACATATCACTCACATGGATCACGTACACAAGCAGGGGGTTCTATCCCCATATTAGGTAAATTGGACTTCAAGCCAAACTTAATCAGAAGCATAAAGAAGCACTTTTCATACTGCTTAAGGGATAATACATCAACAAGACATAACATTTGTAAATATCTATACCCCAAACAATGAAACATTTATGTACATCCAACAAATCCTTCTCAATTTCAAGAAGCAAAGAGATCACAACATTATAATACTGGGTGACTTTAACTCATCTCTCTCACCACAGGATAGATCCTCCAAACAAATACTAAAAACAAGAAAAACATAGAACTAAAAAATAAATTAATATTTAGACTTAACAGACATATAGAGAATATTTTGTCCATCAAAGACTAAATACACTTTATTTTCAGCAGTAGATGGATCCTAGTCTAAAATAGAAGGTATCTTATGCCAGAAAGCAACTCTTAACAAATACAAAAAAAAATACAGATAATAACTTACATCCTATCAGATCATAATGAAATGAAATTAGAAATCAAATATATAATAAAAATACCAGCCACTCTAATACTTGTAGACTAAAAAGTATGCTACTGAATGATAGCAATTACAGAAATGCAAATGGATAGCTTCTGTAATCAAGGTAAAGTTCACTAATTTTCTAAATTACTTAAATGCCGCAGTCTGGCTGGGCACACAATCACGAGCCACCACACAGCTTGTAGATTCAAACAGCAACTCTTTATTCCCGAACTCACACCAGCCGTCTACAAACACGTTCTGGGGAAATCCACGTTCTCTGCCCAAATCCACGTTCTCTCCCAAAAATCCACCTCCACTGGGCTTCTATCTCCAAAATATACTGTCTGAATCACGTGAGAACTCAAGGGGAACTCAGGCAGCAGGATACGCCCTATTCCCAGGAGGAATAATCTTAAACCTTAAACCTGGAACCTAAACTGGGAACGCCCTAAACGCGATTTATCTTAAAACCGGGAACACCCTAATCTGCCTTGGTCCTTGAGCAAGGTCACCTACATTCAATGTCGCTGCAACATGTCAGCAACATGGGGTACGCTGGCAAGGAGGAGTACGCTGGCAAGGAAATTGTCATACCTACTTGGCTAATGGCTCCCAGCACTTAAAATCTACCCTCAATCTCCACTTGCTCTTCCAAACTCTGTCATTCTCACACTGCACAGGAATATAGCCAAGGAACCATTTGATCTCAGAATTGTAGGCATTCTCATCCCTTAACAGATACGTGTGCCTTGGGTTAGCCTCAGTTTCTCTCAGGTAATTTTCAGTTACAGATGGGTACAATGGCTTTGTCAGACCCCATCATCCCTGGTGCTCACAATCTCACTAGCACTGCCCTCCAAACCTAAGCCACAGGATTCTCAGGAGCTATTCCCTCACACAGTCAAGATCTTTACTGGGCACCTACTTGGTGTCTGGCTCCAGCAGACAAATATAAAACACGACTCAGCATCCTGACTTTATGTGCAGAACCCAGTAGGAGCTCAGTGGGAACTAAGGGGGAAAGAAGACTGGGACACTTCAGAGAAAGGACTGACCAGGATCTGTAGGGACTTTGCTGCTTGTTCCAAACTCAAATCCTGTCAGTCAACATTGACGTCTGAAGCAGGAATTACAGAGCAAGGACTGCCCTGCTCTTGGTCAGAGGGAGTATCTGAGTCTTGTGGGTCACTCTTCAAGCCAGAAATGCTGCCTGACAAACACTCAGGGCCCCATGTTTGCTGCTGCTGGCTACTTAGACCCTGCCCTTAGGGACATGTATAAGGGCTTGAGCATCCAGGGCTACATGGCACGTGAGGAGACCAGGGGCAGGGCCAGAACAAAGGAGCATGGAGAGGGTCTTCTGGTGAGGTCAACTTCCTGCTTGATGAAAGTTATTTTGGGCAAATGGAGGGGACCTATCAGACAGACACTTCTGTGCTTATGCTCCGAAGTGGGGGATCCAATAGAAAAACTAAAAGAGATGTGTGTACCAATGGGACACCAATCAATAATAGTGAGGAGAAGGTAAACTTCAGAGACCATAAAAGAACAAGAGAAACTCTACCACCAGATTCCCACCTCTGGGGACATTCTCTTCAGAGAAATCTGCCTGCTGCTCTTGCAATAAACCTGTTGCTTGCTTGCTCTCTCTGCATCCTGTTTGTCAATTCTTTGCTGATCAAGGCCAATGAAACCCGCACCCCTAGATGGTAATACCACCACACTCAATCCTTCCCTCCCTGGAGTTGATCCAGTCTCCTTTCTTCAGCCTTTGACTCCATGAGCACCAAGGGCAGGACAGAACTTTTCTTTCAGGCAAAATCATAGGGGGCCAGGAAGCCGTGCCTCATTCTCATCCCTACATAGCATATCTTTGGATCAATACCACAGAGAAAACAAAAAAAAATGTGGGGGTTTCCTTGTGTGTGTGAGGACTTTGTCCTGACAGCAGCCCACTGCTGGAGAAGGCAAGTTCACACATCTAGAGAAAACCCCACAGGGAATCCTCTCCTTTGGGGCTGAATACATGAAGACCATGGTGGCAGGAAAGCTCTGGGGAGAGAGGAGCAGGTCAGTGCAGGTGGCTTGTTATACAAAAGGAGAACATGGATCAAGGCTAGATGGGAAGGAGGCAGGTTTTGCCCCAGATCCCAGAGTGCAATTGTGTGAAATTCAGAGTCTCACCTGGAGAGAGTCTCTGTACATGATTGTGCATGTTCTGTACATGACTGAGCATACTACAACGCTCCAGGACCTGCACCAACCCTGGCTGCCAGGAATCAAAATGAAGATATACTCAGCCCAGAGTCGTCTTCCCATGTAGCTTCTCCCAACTCCAACCTGCCCTGCCCTGGGCAAACCATTTTCCTTCAGGGATCCTGAAGTGTATCCCCTATGACTCTACTTCACTGTCTGCTCTAGGAACAGATCCATCACTGTCATCCTGGGAGCCCACGATATTGATGAGCAAGAGATGACCCAGCAGGTCATCCCTATAAGAAGAGCCATCCCCCATCCATATTTTAAAAGAAATTCATTCAATGACATCATGTTACTTCAGGTAAGGCATGCCATTCCACTGAGTCTTATACAGGTTAATCCTAGAGGGTTAAATCCTCATGGCCTTGTTTCCATTATTCATTTCCAAATTCACCCCTTCACTTGTCCCCATGACTGTGTGGATTTTCTGGAGTGTTGGTTGATCAAAATTCCCTTTATCTGCCTTTAGTTGGAAAAGAAGGCCAAGCTGAATGCTGAGGTGAGCCTCCTCAAGTTACCCTCAGTACATTCCCAGGTTACACCAGGGATGGTGTGCTCTTTAGCCGGCTGGGGACCTATTGACCAAAACATATCCACAACAGAACTGCATGAGGTACAGCTTGAAATCCAAAAAGACGAAGAACGTCTCTCTCATTTCAAAAGACCATATGACTCCACCACCCAGATTTGTGAGGAGAACCCAAAAGAGAAGAAGAATGGTCTTCAGGTAAATTCACCTGCATTGGTTATTCCCTGCCTTGAGCACAGCAGAGTTTGAGGAGAATCAGGGCAAAGGGAACTACTTATGCCCCTATGTACTCAGCCTTTCACCAATTCAGTCTCTGGTCCTTGGGAATCAGTGGAGACTGACTGCCATTGGTCATTTCATGGAAAGAGACTTACTGAAGGAGGAGAGGCATCAGTAAAACTGGGAAGAATAGTCAGCGTCAGGCTGGAGCCCCCCAAACTGAATGAGGACTGCCCTGGTCCTGATTTCATACACACAGCCCTCTAACAGTGCCCACACACACCTGGGGAGTGGGTGGTGTGGGATTTGGAAAAAACTAGCTAAGGGCAGCCCTTCTCTGTCCACAGGGAGATTCAGGAAGTCCTCTTGTGTGTAAAAACGTGGCGCAAGGCATTGTGTCCTATGGGAAAATGGAGGAGACACCTCCAAATATCTACACGAGGACCTCAAGCTTTCTGCATTAAGGTCCTGGATTAAAACAACAATGAAATCATTCAAACTCCAAGGACAAGACTGAGAGGCCTTCAGAATTGATATTCATTTTCTCTTGAACAAAGGCCCAAAATGCACTGGGTGGATGAGTCGAGGGGAGACTGCCAGGTACTTAATAAACTTTCATCTCTGCAACAGAAGTGATGGATTCCTCCTTTATTCGCCAGCATAACATTCTGTAAGGTTCTGATTGCATGTCCAGCAGGAACTGTTTACATTTATGATTCCTTACACGCTTCCTCTCAGGCAAACTCCACCTTCCACCTCTAGAATATAAAACCATGCTGTGTTGATACTAGCTCCAAATGACCTGTCCCAATGCCAGCTCCCTGCCACAGGTCGAGTTTAAGCTACCCTCTCTAGACAAAACTCATTCCTTCAGTGCCATCTTACCTCATTCTGTACCTACATTCCTACCCCACCGTACATCAGGGCCAGTAACACAATACAAAAGAACCCATATTTGGAAAGGAAATTACATAATTCCCACCCTAGTGGTAATCGGTAGGAGCCTATTGGAAAGCTGTGGTTCATGCAGGGCTCCCTCTTCAAGTCAGCACAACTGGCAGCTTGGAAGCATGAAGACATTCAGGAAGAATTTTCAGTGTCCCCAGATGCAACTTGAGTTCTGTCATAGCCCTGTTGTGGGTCCAGAGTCCAGTGCAGTGTCTGGTCTCCTGAGAACCCATCCTCCCATAATCCCCAAAAATTTTCATCTTAGTCTGAGCCAGCTTCTCTCCACCTCCCATGTCCAGGTTCCCTGGAATCCTGTGAGGATCCAAGCACCCTTTCTATCTTTGTTCATCAAGATTCTCATCCTTGATGCATCTTGAGCACTAGCTCAACTTCTGCCCCATTCATGAAGGACCAGGAAGCAGAGAAAGTCCTCAGAACTCTAGTCCAGAGCTTTCACCTGGGTCAAGGCCATATCAGTCCTCCTCATGCAGAGGAGTCTTGCTCCTGAGCTCAGAGCCCAACAAAGACAGGTCACACTCAGCAGCCTGATCCCTTGCAGGCACTTCCTTTTGGCCACAACTGACAGTCTGGTCTCTGGGAAAGAACTCACTGATTAGTACCCTGGACTATAATGTCCATCTATGTGAGACAGCCTGCCTCTGTAACAGGACAGAAGCAACATTCTGCAAAGCAGTAGTCATCATGGAATCCATGTGGTGTTTCTGTGGCTTTCCTGGCCTGCATCTCAGTTTGAAATTTACAAGAATCACAGGCATCTTCTTTTCAAGATAATAAAACTTATTTGAATTGTAATGATGCTACATGGTACAGTTTTTGAGCATATTATCACAGCAGATCCAAGAAGTGCTGATTATGGGGTCTAGAGGAAATAGAGACTTTATAGTCTGTCAGTGCTTAAGGGCATTCCCTCCCAGGAGGCAGGAGGAAGATGGGAAGAAGGACCACAGTGTGAGCAAGTCTGTCCTGATTTAACTTTGTGGCATGTACACAAACTCAGACACGAATCATAGTTCACATTTTTCTGAAATCTGGGGTCTGACTTTAAGCATGGGCCAATGTGAAAAGTAACCCTAGTTATTACTGAGGCCTAGCCACACCCACAATTGAACCAAGATAGGCAGGCTTAGGTATGCTTGGAAAATGGAAGTCTTCTCTAATCGTTTTTAATTTTTTTATTGCAAGTTTACAGTGATACATTGTAACTGGGTTCATCCTGACAAACTTACAAATACATGAAAATCTATTCGGCTCATAATGCCAATCTTTTCACTCCCCTCTTTTACCTCCCATCTAAACTCTTCTCTCCCATTCTCCTTCATCTACTCTACTTGACTCCCTTTTGCTCATCTATTAATTAATTATATTTAATTAGTAAAGTTAGCCAAATTATTAGTTGGCATAATTAATTATATTTGCTTGTTCTTTGTAATATTTATTCCTCCCTCCACATTCCTTAATGTTACTCTAGTTTCAGCATAAAACGATAAACATTCAACATTTGGATTTCAGAGTTGGCTTATTTCACTTAGCATGGTATTCTCCATTTCCATTCATTACTGGCTATAACTTTATTCTTTTTATGGCTGAGTCAACTCCACTGAATATATGTACCACAGTTTCTTGTTCCATTCATCTACTGACAGGTATCTAGATTGATCCCATAATTTGGCTACTGTTCATTGTCCTGCAATAACCATTGAGGTGATTGTAGTATGTCAATTCTTATATTTGGGGGAATACCCACGAGTAGGATAGCTGGATGACATGGTAGTTCTATCCCTAGTTCCTTGAGGAGTCACCATACTGCTTTCCAGAGTGCTTGTACTGGTCTGTAGTGCAACCAACAATATACAAGTGTTCCTTTCTGCCCACAACCTTGCCAGCATTTATTGTTGTTCATATTCTTGATCATTGCCAACTTGACTAGAGTCAGATGAAATCATAGGACAGTTTTGATTTGATTTCCCTAATTCTACAAATGGTGAACATTTTTCATATATTGTTGCCCATTGTGTTTCTTCTTTTGAGAAACTTCCATTTGTTCTTTTGTCCATTTATTGATTGGATGCTTTGTGGGAGTGGGGTTTTTTTGTGTTAAGGCTTTAAGTTCTTTTTATATTCTGGATATTAATCACCTATTGTAAGATTAGCAGGCCAGGACTTTCTCCTGTTTTGTAGCCTCTCTCTTCACACTCTTAATCATTTCCTTGGCTGTATAGAAGCTTTTCAGTTGGATGGAATCCCACTTCTTGAAACTTGGTTTTTTGTTTTTTTCTTATTCCCTGGGGGTCTCATTAAGGAAGTTGGTGTCAGCAACTACCTACTGGAGTATTAAACCTATGTTTTCTTCCAGAAGTTGTACAGTTTCTAGTCTAATTCCTAGTCTTTGATCCCTTTCAATGTGGGTTTTGTGCATGGTGTGAGAGAAAAGTCTAATTTCATTTTTCTACAGATACCTATCCAGTTGCCCCAGCACCATTTGTTTTAACATGCTTTTAATATTTTTTTTAACATGTCTTTTTTCAAGAGGCATTTTTGGTGCCTTTGTCAAATATCAGACAGCTATGGATATGTGAATATCTCTCTGGGTCTTCTACTCTGTTCCATTGGTCTTCATATCTATTTTGATGTCAATACCATGCTGTTTTTGTTACTACAGTTTTGGGTGTAATTACACTTCAGGTATTGTGATGTCTCATGCTTCACATTTCTTGCCTAGTATTGCTTTGGCTATTCTGGGTCTCTGATTTTTCCAATTGAATTGAAGAATTATTTTCCTAATTCTGTGAAGAATGTCATTGATATTTTGAGGAGGATTGAAATGCATCTGTATATTGCTCTTGGTATTTTGGCCATTTTGATAATATTGATTCTGCATATTGAAGATGGCATGTGTTTTCATCTTTTAAGGTCATCTTCAATTCTTTGCTTTGGTGTTCTATAATTTGTATTGCCAACCTCTTTTCCCTCCTTAGTTAGATTAATTTTTTGAAGTTACTATGAAGGGGATTGTTTTCATGATTTCTTCCTCAACTGAATCACTGTTGGATTATAGGAAAGCTAATGATTTATGGGTATTGATCTTGTATCCTGCTACATTGTTAAACTGATTTCTATGCTCTAGAAGTCTTTTATGGTATTTTTTGAGTCTTATTGATATAGAAACATGTTGTAGGCAAACAGAGGTACTTCAACTTCTTCCTTTCCTAAATTTATTTCTTTGATTTCCTTTTCATGTCTGATCACCATGGTTAATGTTTCAAGTGTTATACTGAATAGGGGTGGTGAGAGTGGATAATTTTGCCTTGTTCCTAATTTCAGAGGAAATGCTTTTAGTTTTTCTCCATTGAATATCAGGATGGTGTTGGCTTTGGGMTTGTTTCCAAATCCAAAATGCTGATAAAATTTTAGCATAGTTTTCATTTGATTTCCCTGATTGTTACAGATGTTGAACAGTTTTCATATATTTTTATTTGGCCTATATGATGTTGAAGTAATGTCCTTCTATTCCTAATTTTTTCATCATTTTTAACATGAATGTGTGTTGGATTTTATCAAAGGCCTTTTTGGCATCTATTCAGATGATCATGTCACTCTTATCTTTAATTCTGATTAAGTGGTGAATTACATTTATTGATTTTCATATGTTCAACCAAACTTTCACCCTGAAAAGAAACCCATTTCATCATGGTATAATTTTTATGTGTTTTTGAATGTGGTTTGCTAATATTTTATTAGGGATTTTTGCATCTACGTTCATCACGGATATTGCTTTTTAGTTTTCTTTCTTTTATGCACATTTATCAGTCAGTATCTGGATGATATTGGCTGCGTAAAATATATTTGGGAGTGTCCTCCTCTTTCAATTTCATGGAATAATTTTATTTTAAAAAATGATATTAATTCTCCTGTACAGATTTGGAAAAACTCAGGTGAAAATCCATCAGGTCCTGGAATTTTCTTTTTCTTAAAGCTTTTATTTGCTGTTTTCATTGGGTCCTGGGATTTTTAGTTTTCAGAAAGCTTTCAATTACAAGTTCATTACTGAATATTGGTATGCTTAGGTTTTCTATACATTCTTGTTTCAATTTGGGCAGATCATAGGTGTCTAGAAATTTGTCAATGTCTTCCAGATTTTCCAGGTCATTGAAGGATAAATTTTCGAACTACATTTTGTTAATGCTTAGGATTTCAGAAGGATCCAGAGTAATATCTCCTTTTTCATCTCTGATCTTGTTGATTTGCTTCTTCTCCATCTTTCCTTTGGTTAGTTTGGCTAAGGATTTGTCAATCTTATTTAGCTTTGCAAGAACAAACTTGTCATTGCATTCATCCTGTGTATCATTTTCTTATTCTCAATTTCATTGATTCAAGTTCTAATCTTAATTATTTCTTCTCTTCTACTGGTTTGGAGTTTGTTTGCTCCTTTATTTTTAAGGCCTTGAGGTGGAACATAAACGTATTTACTAAGGATTTCTCTAATATTTTAACATAGGCCTCTATACTATCAATTATCCTCTTAGAACTGCTTTCATACTGTCTCAGAGATT